CTTTCATTATTTATTAATTATTACTAATACTTTTACTATTATTACTAATACTTTTACTATTATTACTAATACTTTTACTATTATTACTAATACTTTTACTATTATTACTTATGCTTTTACTATTATTGGTGGATTTTTAGGGATTTATCCAGCTGTGGATTGACAAGGATTCCTTCAGAATTGTTCGTTAATTTGACCAACTTAGAGATTCTGTAAGTTTGATCTTGTTTGTTGCGATTGTTAATGTTTGGTTCTATTACATCCTCTTTGCCGTCTACAAATTGCTCGGCACCACACAAAAGTATAGAGCGAGTGCCCAATCAATGCCCTGCATTGATAGCACTTAGTTCCTACTAAAAAGATCGACGGACCAGTATGTTTCTTCAAGTTAAACTGAATTATTTTCCCCGCGTGTGACAGATCTTTAGCAAGAAACCAGATCACCGTAATAGAAGAAAGGGCATTCAAAGATCTTATTGGACTAAAGATATTGTAAGTATGAAACACAGGGTACCCACTATATGCATGCTTTACCCAGGCTTCCTAGTACTGATGGAGAAGGAGTTCAGTATGTAAGTTATACTGTTAGTCAAGAGAATATTAGTATACTTCATATTCTCTTGTGTTAGTATAGCGCATTTGCAAAAGTTTTGGTCCTGGAAACCCTTTATCTACAGTCGGTAATGATTCAATAATTGTCTTATTTGACCTAGGAATCTCACTGATAACATTCTTAGTGACTGGAAAGGACAAATTTATTCCGAGCTACCCTCCCTAAGGATAATTGACTTGACTGGGAACGTGCATTGGAAGCCAGACAAGAGACTTCTCAACGTGACTACTCTTAGTGAAGTCAGGGGGGTGAAATGGAGCCATGATTGTGTCAACTGTTTACTGCAAAGGACAAACAATACTTTAACTGGTGACATTCCTGATGATTTGGAATGTAATACTGCCATGTTGTATGAATTCCAAGGCTTTCAAGTGAGCTTCACTGATACGTGTTTGAAAAAAATGTGTGAGCCAGTCTGTATGCCTAAAACAATTGCTATAATAAAACAACTAAAGCAAAGAAGTTATGACAGAGGGAAGTACTTCTATGGTTGTTATGCCGTTGGAAGTTTGGCTTTCTCGCTGAACTTGATCGTCTTGGTTAATGTATTTCTGTCCAAAGCGATGCGCCGAGAGATGTCAATGATTTTAATAGCCAACATGGCTTCTTGTGACATACTAATCAGCATCTATGTTATTTTGATTTCAAAACACAACGTCTTTCTTGCAACGCATGAACAGAATGCACAAAGTATCTCGCAGGACGGACAAAATGCAAGCACCATAGGAGATGTTTACACTCGTCATTGTCAAGGCTCAACCATTCTTCTAACAGTTGGAGAAATCGTATCATTAGTAACAGCCTTGCTTTTGACCATTGAAAAGTACACTTGCATAGTCTACTGCATGAAACCTGATGTTAGGCTGAGAAAGAAGCATACTTTCGTTGTCCTTCTTGTCACGTGGATTGGATCCTTCCTCTTTGCTATTTCACCGTATTTTGGCATCTTCAACCTGAAATATAGTGCGTCTTTCATGTGTACAATGCCAGTGACGGATGGAAAGAACCCCACATTTATCATCTATCCCTTGGTTATCGTAGCCGTAAACTATATCTTAATGCTACCCATGTATTTACGCATATTCCTGTACGTTCGTCGATCCAGTGCTGCAGTGGGACTGCACAGAAATGCTGCGTTAGCCAAGCAGGTTTCCATCATGGTTGGTTCCAACTTCTTGTTCTTCGTGGTTCCTATGGTTCTTCTGGTAGTCAACGTGTTTATCTTGGGTAGCCATTCAGATATAATACTAGATGGCTCGTCAAAGGATCACATCGTTTACATCTGGCTTCCTATTATGTTTTTTGGTATGAACTCGGTACTCAATCCATTTCTTTACGCCTTTAGACGCAAGAGGTTCCAGCGAGAGTTGATCGATCGCATCTGTTTTGGAGGACGGCTTCCAGAGCGTCTTCGTAGAGCTTTCTCAGCCTTAAAGTCAAGCCGAATGACTTCCTCGGCGAGTAGAGTCGATCTTTATGAGGTAGAGAGGCAAACCGTCCAGGGGATGGAAAATCAACGTCGAATAGGCCGGACAAGCTCCGATATGCCGTTCCCGAATACAGAAAGAGTTTTGCTGTGTAAGGTTACAGACATACCAAGTAAGAGAAAAGAAGCTCCATTAATGAAGCCTGGTTAGACAAACACAGCCACAGCGATAAAGTCATAGTAACAGCCAAACTGATTATAGACAAGACATGTGCCTGGCTCGAAGACTAGTTTTATCGGTACCGACTCTCGTCAATATATACTGATTTGTAGTATGTGGTCGCAATTTTATCGCTTGATACAAAAAAAAAAWGAAAGTATTTAGTGGAAATCTATAACGGCACCTGGAATAGTGGCGTAGATATTGTAGCATCGTTATATGCTATGTTTATAGCTATGTACATTCTGGAAGTGCATAACAATCAGTAGACTGGGTTAGCAGTGCTTTGGTCTCAGTTGCATGACTCACCACAGGGAGCCCATATCGCATTTGTACATTGGCTAATGTACTCTTCTTAAACTTACCTTGGATACGAGAAAGTAACTTGAAAATACAAACCTTGGAAAGAAATGACACAAATTCCATTGACAAATTTGAATTCAAATAAAGTTTATTATATTGTTTGAGAAAAAGTGCGATTGCTTTTGTATTTTTATGTTAGCCTCGCTTAAAGATAATTTTGAGAAGGGTCCATTGGTGATCCGTTAGAAAGATCGCTTTATTGTGAATGTTATTGAGAATCTGAATATATGGTAGTATATTTCATGACAGCAAATAAGAGGAAGATGATTTCAAAGGAACTGAGAATAATCATTCTATCCTAATCCAACTAAAGAACAAGTTAGCACATGCTACCGCCATCCAATCACAACACTTGAAGAAAACCAATTGTCTGCTTTTGGCCCCTTAGCCTCGCTTGTATGCTGTTCTTTTTTTTAAATTATTATTATTCTTTTTTTTTTTATTTAAACATATTTTATCGAAACATTAACCCCAAGAGCGTAACGCTCATCGAGGGGGTCTATGTATGCTGTTCTAAATGCACACTTTGGACGAGGAAGAAGCCTGATCTTGACATTAATAATGCAAGGGTGGATCCAGGCGTGGTGAAAGGGGGTCGCTAGTATAGACACCCCCGTTTTGCTCCAATTTCTCAGTATTGCTCTTAGCAAGCCTCCTCCCTTTTCATCGCTTCCCTGGTAAAGATTTTGTAATAGTGCCCCCCTCCCCTCCCCCCCTTGCTAAAATTCCTGGATCCGCCACTGTGATGTAATGTAAAAAATATAAAAACGAAAATATATAATATAATCAATGGAATGTGTAAGGGAGACTGTAATCAAATGAACTTAAAGTCATACGTGCATTTTGTACATTTTATTAACCACGCCAAAGTATTACTATTTACAACAACATACTATAACTATTAAGAATATATTGTTTATAGATTACATCCTAATGCATGCAATGGCAACATATTACAGCTTACTATAGAATGGTTATATATTGTATAAGGTACAAGATTATGTTCTAATATAGTGCAATACTTGTTTAATTTTATTGCGATAAGCTGCTTTCCTCTGCCTCTTAAAATAGAACAATAAAGAATCAGGGAAAACAATTGTAACACCTTTAATCTGAGGCTCATGAAACAATTGACTACTATCAATCAAATGACTTTGTAGACTCGACAGTCAGTGGACTGAGCGACTGATAAGTTAGTATTCTATTTGACTATAGAGGCTTTGTACCATCACGTGACTTAATTGAGCGACTGATAAGTCAGTCTTCTATTTGATTATAGAGGCTTTGTATCATTACGTGATGGCAGCCATGAAAGGAGGCTGGGACAATAGAGTCGTTCTCCCCTGGGAAACTGATTTCTTTTTCATGTAAATCAGATCAGACCAGATTCAATTGTTCCTGCCTCCTGTCATGGCTGCCATCACGTGATGGTACAAAGCCTCTATTTCTAGGATCTGAAACCAGAAATCAAGATACCTCCAAGATCCCTCAAGCTTCCTAATGTCAGTTGCCCCCCCCCCCCCCCCCCCCCCCCCCTTCCCAAGTCAAAACACGGATATTACAGGAAGTGACGTATAATGATAGTAACTCCACTTGGACGTAATGTTTTCCCTCAAGTATAACATTTGTTATGCGAAACGAAGCTCTGAAACGCTAATGGTGGACAGAGAAATAATGATCAAGAGAATGACGGGAAAGACGTTGCGTCCAAGTGTGATTGAGCCCGTAAATGATATTTACACCATACAAGTATTTTTACAGAACTGTAATATCTAAATATATTTAATATTATCCTTACAGCTATAAAACAGTTTAAAATATCATACTGGACAATAAGGTATTACACTTGTTAGGACAATAATAATAAAGCTAAGCTGTTTATTAAAGAGATAGGTAGACGCACTGTGACGTGATCTTTGATTGACTAGCCAACCTAATGGCAACCCTCTTATTCTAACACCGGCTATTATATTACACCTTTCTTTACATGGGTTCATAATTTGTTCATTATTCATCAGTACTCGATGCATTCCAAGACTACTGATGCAGGGTACGAACCTCGCTTCATTGAATGGTTCATGTTTGAGTTTAACCAATATAAAAGGCCCAATCACCATACTAAGTATCCTAAAGATACGGTATTACGACTAACAAAATAGTGGAACTTGTCGTGCAACACGCACGCAGAAAGTAGAAAGAGCTTCTACGTTTTCTATTGTTTTCTTTTGACTATTACTCATGCACAATTAGAACTTGTTTGACGAGCGGGTATTAGTCAAACAAGACGATTTAAAACTTAACACAAGCTATGATAAATAAAACAATGATACCCAAGATATACCATAATGCATGGCATTATAACATGTCTCAAAAAAGGCCTATGTTATATCATTTGGTTGAGGACCTTGAGATAAAATATATTGTACATGTTGGATCTAAAGTTTCCATGTACTTCAAGTTTATCATTCGCTGCGCTCGTGGTTCCACTTGAGTTTGGATCATATGCTGACGTCATTCCATGTTCGATAAGAGTACAGACCATAGAAAAGGAACCTCGATTTGTTTTTTACCACACAAAAAATTCACTAACATGCATTTTTCCGAGGTTTTTTTAGTGATCAAAAACACCAACGGAAAGAGCGTGCGCTCGTTGATGTCAGCTTATTTGTCTGTCCTCTTATCGATGTTGCAAATTAGCCAATCAGCGCGCGAGAAATTAACAATTTGTGGTAAAATATAATATATACTGGACATGTTGGATCTAAAATGTCCAAGTACTTGAGATTATAACTGGACATATACTTGACATATATACTGGACATGTCCATACCAGTCAAGAATAACCTTACATGGATCAGTAAAAGACAATGGAGTAATGGAGTCCAAAGGAAGACTGGAAACGACCTCGTGATCCAAAGGGTTGTGGGAGATGACACGCAACAAGACCTTGTGGTCTAATGGATTGTGGGATTTGATAAAATGACGGAAGATGACCCGCAACACTGGATCGTCACTAGCCTTCCTTGAATATCACCTTAGAGATCCCCCTTACTCCTGTCTTGTGAATGGTTTACAAATACCCCAATCGCAAGGAAGTATACGATTATGGTGCTTGCGACTCCATGTTACTTAATTTATACATTTCTACTCGAGTTGGCTGGGATGTTCTCACTGAGCTATCAGACCTAAATGTCGTGAAAGCTTTGCACAAATTGTTTAAGAAACAATTGCGTGCGCATTTTTTGACCTCCCGTCGAAACTGCCGCTGACGATAGGCGCACAAGAAAGGATTCAAACAGGAGTTGATACAGAGACAGAAAACTGGCATCCAATAATAAATGACATAGCGCCAAGTTGCTGCGCTGTTATCTCGTATTTCAATTTTATAGTGAGTTTTGAATACATAGCTGAATACTACTATAATGATCATGGGAATAGCAAAGAAAATCATGTTAGTGAATATTAACAGCGATATTTTCTTAGCAAGAACAGCATCTCTGCGAACACCCATGCGAACACTCGAGCGACGTACAAACAAAAATATCTTACCATAGAAGGGAATATTAGCGAGGTAAAGAGCAACAAGTAAGCCAAAGCTGATTACACTGTCTTTCACCTCAGTCACAGGCAGAGTACACAGTAAGGTGGGGGAGTACACTATGTTAGAGGATGTAGGAAACAGAGGGGTAAGCGCGTAAATAAAAGCCCCAACCCAGCAAAGTATTAACACTAAAAACGACAATCGACGACTGAGTTTACGATTCGGATCCATGCAGTAGACTATGGATAGAAACTTGTCAACTGTCAGCAAAAGAGCAGTGATCACTGCAACTACTTGTCCCAAGGTGAACAGTACGCCCGCCACAATACACAGTCTATCAATTTTCCATGTAGTCAAAAGTTTCTCTTCAGGCTTTCGATTTAACAGCCCATTAAATATATTCATTTCAGCGATTATAATGGCATATACACCGACTAACACGTCACAAAACGCCATGTTTGATATCAAGAGCATAGAGTTAATCTTACGCATAGACGTTGAGTAAAGATAAATGAATATGATGGAGAAATTTAGGATTATAGCTAAAGCTCCTAGCACATATGCTACATAGAAGAGTTTACCGGGGAGTACTAGTGGATTATCACTTGGGAAGTTAAAACTAGTCGCCATACACAAGTGCCCCATTGGAACTTCATTACAAGATGGAAAGAATCCCTTCTTGTTCAAGAATGTGTTTGCCATTTCATTTGATTGTGAGTTACCCGGGGTAATTCCAGGACCTCCTGGCCCGGGTAATCCTGTCATGTTACCTTGATTGAAGTCGGGTGTAGGTTGAATGAAAGAGCTATTAAAACCATTTCCCCCGGGTCCTCCGGGTCCCGGTGGCATGATTTCAGTGGTGTTGCCCATATGCAGGACGTTGGTCAGCGTACAGTTGTAGCAACTGGAACTCCAGGTTACCCCCTTAATTACACGAATGGAATGTACGGCAAACACGTTATCGCTTGGAAGCCAGGGGGAGTTGCCTGTGACATCTAAATACCTTAGGGAGGGGATGGATCTACTGATATTACCCTTCCATTCTTGGAGGCTAATGAAGCTGAGATCTCTGAAAAAGAAAACAAGCGAAAAATGTAAACAAGTTTGGACATGAAAACCATGGTTCGTGAGGCTGAATGAGGGCGCAACATCGAGGTTGTTATCCGTCACTGATTGGTAAGTGTGCATCTAGAGTGAATAGGATTGTCAGTGATATTAAATTACAACTTACAGCCATTGCAAACTCTCAAGTCCCATGAATGCATCTTCTTCGATCAGTTTGATGGGATTTCTTTGTAAAGACCTTTAAGTGTTAATAAGATATGATGAAGTTAACGTCTGTAGAAAGAAAGGAGAACCAGCTGAAATGAACGAATTTACTCACAATGAAAGAAGATGAGAAAGGTTTTGCTTTTTGAAGAAGTTAGAAGGAACTGCTGTCAGATTGTTGTTAGAAAGATCCCTGAAAGAAAATTAACAAAACCGGCATAAATCTAGGCAAATGTAGATTTGTAATAGAAATTACAATTATGTTAACTAGAATGTATGCAAATAAAACTTACAAAGACTTGAATTTTGTGGGCAACGCCCATCGACGTGGAAGGTGATCAAGTTGACAACGAATTGTTATCAAATTATTTTTGTTCACATAGCAAGAACATGGCTTCACACAGACTATGGTACTGATGGTAGAGTTAGGCTGTGCGGTCGAGGTGTTGGTGGTGTTAATTGCTGTGGTCGTTGTTATATGTAATGGTGTCGTTGAGCTACCACGCATAGAAGGAACCATGACAAATGAAAAGATACACGCAAACAAGTACATTTTGTCTGAAAAAAACAAACAAACACATTTTCGATACTTAATAATCTGGTCCACCAGATATCGGCGCAGGGAAAAACTTTTTTTACCATAACTTGGAAATTTCTCGCGCGCTGATTGGCTTAGAACCATTGTCGATTAGAGGCTAGACCTGCTTGTGCTTACGACATCCGTCACGCGCGCACTGAGCGAGTGGATGCAACTGCTTTTTCAAACTATTTACTTGTCTTTTTGTTCATTTTTTTCGACTTTGCTTTGGCAAAATTAACAAATCGAAGTCTTTCTATGGGTCTGTACTGTAATCGAACATGAAATGACGTCAAAAATGACCCAAACTTTGCAGTGAAACCACTAGCTGCGCTCGTGGTTCCACTTGAGTTAGGATCATTTTTTGACGTCATTTCATGTTCGATTACAGTACAGACCCATAGAAAATTGACTTCCATTTGTTAATCTGGTAATAAGATTCTTTAAATCAGTATTTTCATATTATTGGGGTTAGCAGTAAGAAATCGTTTAGGGATTACCGGTAAAGAAAGAAACAATGATAAAGAAAATGACATGCGGCATGGAATAGGAAAACATAATGTCTAAAAATGTTGGAAATCATTATCACAGATCCCCGAACCACAAAGGTGACACTATACACGTAGTTCGTCAATTATAACCCTTATCTATATATTGGAGTAATACATGACATTCAGCATATGGCCCTCGTCGGGACTGAGACAGGCGACTTCTTTCACTTTGTATCTAACCTCGAACATTACTCGAACTCTTACTAAAACAGGTTAGTTAAGAAGGGTTATTTAGTGTAAGTTTCGGCGACTAAAATGTATATACAAGGTTTAAACAAGGTAATATTTATTTACAAATCATATATATATCATATAAATATATCATATATATATAATATATACCTAAATATATACCTAACCAAAACATTTCTGCAATTTTACATATATATATATATGTCTTTTGTTCCTCTATTGTTTCGTATCTCGAGATATATATATATATATATATCTGAAGTTACATAATTGGTTTGGTTAGGTGTGTATATATATATATATATATATATGCACTTGATTGCAAAAAGGTTGTAGTATAAATTTATACATATATCTAATGAGATGCAAGATATCAAATGAGATGCAAAACTTAAAAAGTAACTTATTTGGTCTTATTTATCTTCTATTGTATCAGAGACATAGTATTGCACAAAGTCAAGATAAAAAAATATTTTGCACAAAATGCAGTGGCTCAGCAATCGTATTTAAGCATGTTTTACGTTCTGCATCTCATTTGATATCAGGCATCTCATTAGATATATGTGTAAATGTATACTACGACCTTTCTGCAATCAAGTGTATATATATAAAGAAATATTACGTGTATAATCAAGTTGTATGCCCACAAGTAACATTTACTCTTACAAATCATTAAAAATTAGATGGACTTTTCTAGAACTAAACATATATCTCAACAATTTTGCGGTATTTTTGAACTCGACTAACTTTTACAGTTCAAAATAAGCTATAAAAATAGATTAAAATGAAATATCGAGACATCATGTAATGACTGATTTACGAAGATAGAGTGGAATTTGTATTTGATAACTTTCATAATTGATGCCCTCACGGAAGTGATCAAGTCATCAAGGTCCTTTTAGCCTCGTATCGCTATTTTTCAGATCAAAACGATCAAAGGTGCCGCGAAACCTAAACCCATCTTTGATTCGTGTTAAGAATATAAACGATTGAAGCTAATGGCGCATACCAAGGAAGAAAATAAAAATCTCCTTTAAATAAAGAACGAAAAATTAAGAAAACAATTACAAATTACTTTTTTGCTTTACAGTATTCATTCATCGATATTGTATATACCGGTATATTGCACCGACGAAGCTCATGCCTAGTTTGTAAATTAGAAAAGAATATGAACTGATGGTGTAAAGTTAGAGTATGAATTATCATTGCCATTCACACCGGAGCCTATAGAGTAAAGTCATTACACAACTCGACCGTTATTTAAAGACCTTTGAAATTCTGTATAATCGTGCTTAGAGTTTAGCTTTAGTCGGGCAAAGGGTTTGTGTTCGAATCTGAAGACGAATAAAGGGAATTTTCTGCCAACACTAACTTAGTCTAACCTTTGTTGGGGACCCAATCTGTTTGAAATCCGTCAAGGGATTCTCTGCTCAACATTTCATAAACGTGCTTTTTTTCACAGCTGTCGGTCGCCTTCGCACATAACGAAACAAACTGAACGATTTGGAGGTAAAAGGTACTTATCAATATCATTACGTCAATAAAGGACGACCCTGTGTTTCAACAGCCCCTTCCATGACCCAATAATATTGATTCTCCACCTAATCCACAAATAACCTAGCTATATTATGAATTAACATGGCGGTTGTGAATGAGCAGTGACCTTAATATACAGAGCCTTTAAATTGATACATGTTTGATTGGGTTCATGGTAATTGTATCGAAACATTTAGAACTCCTGGTGAGGTTATAAAGCGCTTTATTCAGTAACAATCTTTGGTTGGTAATCCTGTAACAAAATCGATTCCTTCCTTGGTGTTACTTGAGATGTAAAGGGTTTCATATTTCCTGTGAAGCACCGGGTCATTTATTCTGCTTTAGCTCAGTAAAAAGTACATCATGCAAGGGATGACATGGTAACGTTTGGAAGGGAAAGGAATCTTTGGTCTCTGTTTCCAGTTTAGCGTCGGTGTGTGCCTCGTACATCATTTTGCATAGTTAACTGACAATAAAAAAGCTTATCCAATAGAATTGCAGCTTCAGTGCAGACGAAATTGAAACCCCCTAAGTGACATTCTGGCAGGTCAAAGTGGGGCTTTTCCAATAATTGATTTATAGTATATGAAAGCGAACCTAACGCTGTGTGTAATCATCGTACCTTTATGTAAACTGGTCTTTATTGTTGGAGAAAGTCTCTAGCCCTTCACCTTTTACGAATGTTCATGAACAACACTGAGCAAACAAACAAACAAACATCGCGTGATCTGTTCTAAAGTAGTGCTATACTTAGTATGCTATATTGTGTAATCGTTAAAGTGCATATAAACCCTAGTTCAATACTTTCAGTATCAATGCAATATTTCTTGAATCGAGTGTTGCGCCTTGTGTTTATACTTATACTTTAGTTTTTACTTCTAATATGTTAATGACTGTGAGACGTCTTTGAAGGATTGGTTCACACAAACAGAATTCAAAGAGCATTATTATTTTAGTCATGAAGGCTATTGTAAAGTCGTTTCCACATACAGGCCATCATTTAGTATTACTCTTAAGAGTATATATACATATTAACGACATTAGATACCATAGGGCAATTACATAGGGACTGCCAAAGGCGCGCGCGAAAAAAAATGTTCTAGTGCATTTTTTTATCGATTTTTTTTACTCTTTCGTAAAAAGGAGGACATTATCTTGACCTCGATTTAAAAATAATTATTTAATTTTTACGATTTTATTTTCACAATTATATCTAAATTAGGATCCCTGTGGTATTACTAGTTCCCACAAATACACCCAAATGCCTACAATGACGTCACAGCCTTTAAAATATTGAAGGTATAAACCTTTATAACTTAAAGACGCCACCCTCAAATGAAAAAATATTGTACCATTACTATTGCTATTCACTTCATGTAGAATAATTACTGAAAGTACTGAACTAGGGCTTATATGCACTTGATAACTCTCAAACCAACGGTTTTCAACATAAAACCCCAGAATTGCCAAGAAGTTATCTTGCTCAGATGAACGTTCAAGAAATGGTCATTGCAGCGAATGTGATAATAGATGTCTTCCATTTTCTGTAGTTGTGAAATCTTGTCTCGTTATTTTTTCTCGCTATCAAATTATGAATACCCTACGTGGCCTGTTATCTTAAAGAATATATTAAATTTTATAATGAGCTTTTTGAAATACCTTTATTTTAGAAACAACGTGAATTAAATGGGACCAATTTATTGATTGTTGCTATTTCTGGAGCAACAGTTTTTATTTAAAGAATTGTTGTCAACGTTTCGTTCAAAGCGGTATATTGGCATTAAATATTATATTTCATATTAAACAGATACTGGGGAACTAAATGGGAAGTGAAATGGGAAACAAAATACAAAAAGCAAATAATTGATTTTTTTCATTCAGAAATATCAACAACAATCGATGTAATGTCTACATACTGAATGGATTCACATCATATCAGCATCTAATGAATACACAATAAACTGAATGAGAAAAAACCTTCATTTTTTTAAACTAATGTAGACCCTGAGGCAGAAGTAGTTTGCTCGACCTACACAATCGAGGATAAAAGGAATTTTGTAGTACTTGAATTTCAAAAAAGTTATAAAATGAATAAATGAAAAAACTAAGTCGAAAGATGAAAGAAAGAAAGAAAGAAAGAAAGAAAGAAAGAAAGAAAGAAAGAATTAAGGAATGCCATAAAAAAAGGAATAAAGATCAATAGAGAAAGAGAGAGAGAATAGAAGAGAAATTTTTGAGTTAGATTCTTCGTTATCTCGTATTCGGCGAATTCGCACTGCCTTGAACATTTTTTTAGAGTTAGATTCTTCGTTATCTCGTGTTCGGCGAATTCGCACTGCCTTAAACATTTTTTAGAGTTAGATTCTTCGTTATCTCGTGTTCGGCGAACTCGCACTGCCTTGAACATTTTTCGAGTGAAGAAAGAAAAAAGAGAAGAGTGAAAAAATCTAATAATTCCAGAAGAATTGTCGGTGAATGGACACAGACATGTTCAATGAATAAAAATCTTTGATGCATAACATGACTTACTTGGCAATAAACAAATTGACGCATGAAGTAAAAGAGTCTTTTTGACGAATGTTTTTGCCTCAGCTGACAGAAGAAATCAGTTGCTTCATCATCTCGTTTAAGTAATGCCTAGATAGAACCACGCATGTGCAACAAACATGTCATCTATGACTATTTCTCTGAATTATTTTAGC